AATTGGGCTCCTGAGGCACTGAGGAGGATGTGAGCCATTTGTTTGTATTCATAAAGGAAGCAAAAGGACTGTTAAATTTAGGAGCAATGCAGAATGCAAGTTGCGAGGCCTGTGGGAGGGGACAGGAGCAATTTTGGATGTTGGTATTTGTCACTGGCCAAGCGATAGAAGAATGGAAAGAGGGAACATGGGACTTGGGGAGAGCTGGGAAGGGAACTGGAAGACTTGAGTAGCAGTGACAAGTAAGCAAGAAATGTCAGATTGATGTACAAATGATATGGGAGAACTAGCAATGCAGAGGTCAGCTTTAATAAGCTGAGGAGCAAGCCGCAAAAGGGGACAGCAGCAAGAAGGAACACGTTCTTCCCCATTGCCTGCTCTTGCATGTGCTATAATTACATAAAGGAGACGTGAAGATGCAAGGCAACAGGGAGCTACCACACACCCTGCCAGACCTCGTCACATGTGGTGGTGCTGGTCCAGCGACTCCCACAGCATGAGCAAGAAGAGGAGCTCGGTGCTGGTTGAGGAATGAGAGGTGTTTCCAACTCAGTAGTGTGCAAGGATACAGTCTTTTTTGGATGTACTGTAAGGCCCAGTTTAAAGGGGATCTGGAAAATCATGGGCATTTGACATAGCATACAAATACTAATAGCAAAAGAAAAAAAAGGGGTGGGTGGCAGATAAGGACAACAGCCTTCAGTCCCACTCCCTGTATACTTAGCAACTTATTCCACCGTTTACAGTGTTTGTGGTTGTTGTTTAGTTTATTACACATTAATGCATCTAACCTCCTGATTCCAGAATATCCACTTCACCTTCTGGGGTTTCAACTTGTTGATAATCTCACTGTTTTTTCCCAGTTAATTTTTTCTTCAATGAGCAGAAGGTACAACTGATTGTTGAGAATAAATTTTCAGCCTTCCCAAAGGATTCATTGATTTTCAAATGAAATCTGTTTTCAAATACCAGTTCAAGAGAGCCCTCGGTTATATTAATATTTTATTTTGCAGAGAAACTGGAAGTCTGGCAAGGTTAATAGCATCTTTAAAAGAAAATGTATTCGGAAGTCCTACAGAATTGCTGAAATTAAGTGTTCCATCTTTAGTGTATGCTCTCCAAAACAATATGGCGTTTGTGGCTCTTAGCAACTTGGATGCGGCAGTCTACCAGGTAATACGTGTTTTGGTTGGTAATTGATCTTTAAATACGTTTCTCTTTACTGTTTCATGAGGTATGCATGCTAGGTATCTGTCTGCCTAGCATATGGTACTCTTTTCAGCCTTAGTGTTATAACAGAGCACCACTTGGCTTTTATTCAGAGTGTACACTCTGTTGTAGTGCTCTGGTTTTCTGAGCTAGCCCACTCGCTGTTAGAGTCACTTCAAATTCACATCGTTGTAATTGGCAATGGTACCCAAGGATCCGTAGGAAATCAGTGAATATAAAATTTTATTTGTCACTCTGTAGTTGCATTTTCTATTTTATTTTCTTGTTTTGGAGTTTCTAAAACCACATCCTTTGTGCTACATTCCCATCTTCTTTAGGTGACATACCAACTGAAGATCCCTTGTACAGCTTTATGTACAGTCCTAATGCTAAACCGCACCCTTAGTAAGTTGCAGTGGTTCTCTGTTTTCATGCTGTGTGGTGGTGTTACCCTTGTTCAGTGGAAGCCTGCTCAGGCTACGAAAGTACAGGTAAGAGTTTACATTTTGCCCCCTCACGATGAGGAATACGCTGCTTTATATTTTGTATTTCACTTCACAGCAGCTGGGATTAAGGTAAGGTCTCACATTCCACACAGCAGTATCCGTTTCCTGTTTCCAGCCGCTTCATCTACAACATAACCACTAGTCTGATCATTCACTTTCACATTTATTGTATACCAGTTCAGGCAGGCTTGCGGTATTGCTCCAGTCTCACTTGTTGGAAAGGCACCTGATTGCTACAATTAGTATAAATTACCACAATCATCATAATCAGTCTAATGCACCATCATAGGAGTATCTGAGTAATACAGTGTTTCCAGCAGTTGGCCCTGGTATCGTTGTAATTGTTGGAGCAGAGAACTTGGAATTGAAGCGCTTGGCAGAATTAGGAGTAAAAACTCCAATGCCTTGTGGGTGTGGGTATGTCATTTAAACACACCCTTTGGAGGCACTGACCTAATCACATTCTAGGAGGAAACAAGTGTCTTCTGTTTCTTAGGTCTTAGTTGCTGGTCAGAGGCGTTAGTGGGAAAGGCAGGTCACGCAGCGGGGAAGACTGGCCACAGCCAAATAGACGGTGCCTCCGAGCACTGCAAGGATTGGTAAGGGCACACACGGGAAGTGAAACACCACACAGCTACACTGAGCTAACCTGAAGGGCAGCTCTAGCTAAGCAAGTACATGTTATACTGTAATGAAATGCTACTAATTTTGCCGTACTTAATTCCAGAGCTACTTTGTTATTGTAAATTACTGAAGTGTTGCATCTTTTTTTAAAATAACGGTTGATGTTGCAGGTGGAGCAGAATCCATGGCTAGGGTTTGGAGCGATTGCTGTTGCTGTATTATGTTCAGGATTTGCAGGTATAGTAGTATTTCCATACGCAGGTCACATCAAAAGGACTGGAGAACTCATGATGTTTAAAACAGAACATCCTACATTAGTTAACCGTCTTCATTGATTATAAGATAAAAAAAGAACTTTATCCCCTCTACCCATAATTACCTTCTACTTACAGTAATTATGACAGATTCATGCCATAATTACTTCAGTTGTCAAGCAAATCACTAGGAGCACATACTATTGGTTTTATGTGATGCAACTTAAAAGGCTGGTTTGCAAGTGGAAGCGTCTTTCAAATGCTTAGAATAATACTGTGGGGAACAACCATAATGACTCACTCAGTACAATTAATTAATGTACATCAATTTTATAAAGTTGGCTTTACAGTGAATGTCTCCCTTATGGTGTTCACATGAAATACTTGCATTTTTTATAAGGGGAACTGAGCTTCTTGCTCGATTCTTGTGCCAGCTCAGCCCCAAAACACACATTGCCATAGTCCTGTAGGTGGAAAAACTAACTGAGATGCAGAGGGAGCCTAAGTAAGGCAGAGAGGAAGATGAGTAGCAGGAAGCCTAGATAAACGGCATGAAGGATTTTTGGTTGGGGAGTGTGTGTGTTTGTTTTTTGTTGTTTTGTTTCATTTCTTTTTACAAACAGCATTTTCCCTCAGAGTAGTTTTTCTCGTCTTCTGGCTTCTGCAAAAGGAGACCAGAACTGGAGGACAAGGGAGCTGGTGCTAAGAAATAAGGAAATGCAAATTACTACTTAATTTGAAATTTGGGTCACAGGGGCATATTTTCCTGTCTGTAAACTGGATTCTTCCCCCTCCCTCTGTAAGAAAACAAGGTACTACCACCCATCTCTAGTACCATGCAATCCTGCAAGAATAATCTTGTGCTGTGCATGCACGCTTGTTACTTCTGGAAAACATTCTGGCTGGCAGGGGGGAAAAGGAGGAGGATTTTGTTCTTATTTGGTGTTTTTTCAGTGAAATAGGCACTTTGAAGCAGAAATACTAGAATCATAGAATATCCTGAGT